TCGATAGCTCAAACTCTAGTCTAAAAAGAAGTCGGAACATCCTCAATTGGAACATTAGAGGAATCAACTCAAGATAAATGCAAATGCAGTAAAAGAAAAAAATCGATGAAAGCTCTTGTGCAATCTTCTGCATCTCCAAGAAACTAAGAGAGATCATTTTGACCACTCCTTCATAAAAAACTGGCCCCAAACGCTTCAACAAGTATGCCTTCTCCCCTCTGTTGGACAATCTGGAGGTATTCTTATGGGGTGGAATAGCTCTATCTTTAATGGGGAAATCATTGAGATTAACAAGTTCTCCATAACACCAATTTCTCTTCCTTGCATAATGGTCATAACTAGATCCTAACCATCTTGATATGGTCCATGCCAAGGTCCCGGTAGAGATGAGTTTGTTCTTTGGCTCAACAACCTTCAAATTGATGATAATGTGAGCTGGATGATTGTAGGTGACTTCAACTTTTACGGATCATTGACCCATGAGAAAATGTAAGTGGAGGCAATATGAATGACATAATGATCTTTAATGAAATTATAAGTAACCTGGGACTCCTAGAAATCCCACTTAAAGGGAGAAAGTATACTTGGAGCAATATGCAAGATGATCCCTCCTTGAGCAAATTGACTGGGTCTTCACTTACATTAATTGGATCTCCGATTACCCCGACACACTTCTTCTTCCAATGGCAAGACCAACTTCAGATCATATCCCTTGCAAAATACAAATTGGCACCAATATCCCCAAGGCACAAACTTTCGGATTTGAGAACTCTTGGATTGATCACCTGGGTTCATGGATCTTGTGAAATCTGTTTGGACCTCTAATGTCGAGCTTCAAACAAGTGCCACAAGAATTAGCTCAAAGTTCAAGCTTCTTAGAGCTGCCCTAAAAAAGTGGAGCAAGAAATTGTCTAATCTCTCTAGGTTGATTAAAATTTGTAATGACAATTTAGAAGTCTAAGTTTTAGACTCTCTTGAAGAACAAAGAACTCTCTTTATACAGAATTTAACTTGGTAAGGATTCTTAAAGCACACATTCTCGATTACATGGCTACAAAAAAATCTACTGGAAGAAGAGGTACACCGTGAGATGGACCAAGTTGGGAGATGAAGGAACAAAATTTTTCCACGCCTGCAGCCCAATTTGAGAGATACAGGATTAACACCATCACTAGCCCGACAATGAGGATGGTAGATCTATCACCGAGCATAATGAAAAGGCAGCTCTGCTACTAGAGGATTTTAAAAGAGAATGGGATGCTCTTCTAATCCTACAATGCTCTACAACCTTGATCATCTAGTGCAGGCTAGAGATGACTTAGTTTCTCTCTCAAGGCCTTTCTCCACCCATGAAATCGATGAGGTCATCAAACACATGCCGTCTGATAAAGCTCCCGGTCCAGATGGCTTCAATGGGCTCTTTCTCGAAAAAATGTTGGGATCTTATAAAAGAAGATGTCTACAAATTATGCTTTGATTTCTTCAATGGTAACTTGAATCTGGAAGCCATCAACAGCTCATTCATCACTCTAATCCCAAAAGTGCACAATCCTACAAGTGTCAATGACTACAGCCCATTTTCCTTCCGAATGGTGTCATCAAAATCATCACAAAGCTCCTTGCCAATCGGCTGCAGTTAAAATAATTCCTTTAATTCATACCAACCAAGATGGCTTCATAAAAAATAGAACAATACAGGATTGTTTGGCTCGGGCTTATGAGTACATCCATCAATGCCAACATTCCAAAAAAGAGCTTATTATTCTGAAATTAGACTTTACAAAAGCTTTTGATACAATTGAGCACAACACAATCTTGCTGATGATGAAGCACTTGGGGTTTGCTGAAATTTGGATTGATTGGATTGAGAGGATTCTTGCTTCGCTCCTCTTCGGTCCTTCCGAATGGTGTGCCAGGCAACCACTTTCACTTTGTCGTCATGGGGTTAGACAAGGTGACCCCTGTCACCTCTCCTCTCTTTGTGCTTGGTGCGGATCTCCTTCAATGCATTGTCAACAAAGCCTACCAGCAAGGTTTGTTTGAGTTGCCTATTCCTTCTTTTGAGCTGGATCAGGTTCCCCATTGTTCAAGATCTGTTGACGATACTATTCTAGTCATGAAAGCTTCTCGAGGGGGAGTTATTCGCCCTAAAAGGCCTTCTCGAATCCTTCTCACAATCGACAGGGCTGAGTCAACTACTGTGAAGTCTTGCCTTGTTCCTTAAATCTCTCTCTTGAAAAAGCTCAACTCCTTGCTTTGGTGTCTTCGGTGCAATTTGGAATCTCTCCTTTTAACTACCTTGGACCGCCGTTGGGAACAACAAAACCTCGAGTTGAACACTATGGTCCCATTATGACTAAAGTTGAGAGAAGGCTCATGGCAACTTCTACCTTCCCGACCCATGCTTTGGCTTCACTAGTCAATTCAGTCCTCTCTTCGCTGCCCACATATGCCATGTGTACCTTAGAGGTGCCGATTGCGGTCATTGAGTATATTGATAGAGCAAGACGTCACTTTGCCTTTGGAGAGGTTCAGATTCCAATGCAAAGATGAAACCACCGGGTGGCACGGAGAAAATGTTCAAAGCCAAAAAGAAAAGGAGGATTAGGAATTATTAATCTTAGGAGTCAAAACAAGACCCTTCTTTTGAAGCATCTGGACAAATTTTATAATAGGAAGGATATCCCATGGGTGAAGCTGATCTGGAATGCGCATTATTCCTAGGGTCAAGTGCCACATGCTTCGACAGATAGGGGTTCATTTTGGTGGAAGGATGTCCTAAAATTATGTGACATGTTCAGAGGAATTGCAAAGTGCACTTTTGGAGATGGTTCCACTGTGCTTTTTTTGGTCCGACCTTTGGAATGACAACATCTTAGAATCCAAATTCCCAAGGCTCTATTCCTTTGCCCGAATAAGAACATTTCAAAGGCTGTGTTTTTGTCTAATAACACTGGAGGCCCAATTTCACTTGCCCTTATCGAGAGCAGGCCTTCCAAGAATTCCAAAGTCTCTAGGAATTAATTCAAGATCTGCAGGTCGATCGAAATTCAAAGGACTCTGGGAATACATTTGGGGAAGCAAGAACTACTCCTCATCAAAGTGCTACAACTTTCCTTACAAGAATATACAGCCCCATCCCTTTTCTCTGGATTTGGAACTCCAAATGCTGTAACAAACTTCGAGTTTTTTCGTGGCTCCTCTTGATGGATGATCAACACAAGGAATATTCGAGAAGGAAAAAGCACAAGCTTCGTGGAAACAACTACAATTGTGTCCTATGCAAAGAACAACATTGAAGAAACCGCATTTCATTTGTTCTTCACCTGCCCTTTACCCAAGCCTGTTGGCAACACCTTGGTATAAATTGGGACTTCACAATGGATTTCTTCCGGATGATGCAGCAAGCCAAGGCTCAACATAACAACCCCTTTTTTATGGAGACCTTCATCATTTCCACCTAGCAGATTTGGAAGCAGAGAAACAACTATATATTTGACAGAGGCCGACCATCCTTTGATTCTTGGAAAAGCTCCTTCTATGACGAAGTTAGGCTACAGGCCCATAGATTTAGTTCTGCTAAGCGCTCTGTCTTCCTTTCTTGTACAGCTGCTCTAGTTTAGCTCTGCTGCCCACCTCGGGCTTGCTTCCCTTTTTTGTTATCTCTTGTATAGAGTTGCTGCTTCTTTTGTTTAAATAAAAAGTTTACAGTGGGGGCCTCCCCTGCTGTATTTTCCGCTAAAAAAAAGGCTTGTTTGATCGGGCTAAGGCTAATTGTTAGGTGGTGCTAAAAATCAGCTAGCTGATCCTTCCGTCCTAAAAATCAGCTAGCTGATCCCTTCGTCCTGTAATATGATGTATTGCAAAAAAAAAATCAAGACAATACTTAAATAACAAATGTATCAATAAATTAAACCCAATAACAAGTTTCTCCTCAAATTATGACTTCTTTTTTTCTAACAAACTTTGGTAAATTTAAGCATAATCACCACATAGAATGTCTTATGTTTTAGTAATATTAAAATTATAATGAAGATGTATTTCAAGATGGAGGAAGTAACTATTAGCCCAATACTTGTTTGGATCCCCAGGCAAATAAATATATATCCCTTGCAACGAACTGTTAGCCCTTGTATTAGCTAGTTGTACTTGGCTAATGGGTTATGGCTGGATCACATGGGCTAACAAGTGTCAGCTAAAAATTATTTCTAGGTCATTCAAATAAAGAAAAGAAATAAAGGAAGAAATAAAAAAAAAGATAAAGACATTACAAACATTTCACTCTTTTTATCTACCCGACGATCCGTTTTATCAAAACAGCTTCATCTTTACCAGTGAAAGTACTTATAGAACTGAAGTCGAAAAAAAACTACTACACCAAGTAAACAAAGAGTTGTACCAAACATGCCCATAATTTTTGTTGTGTACTTAAATATATCCAAAATGTCTTATATAATTTAAAATGGAGTGAGTACTTTTGAGCACATTCCATTATTCAACGTTTTTCTTGTGCTCTCCCTCTCTCCTCACTTTTAGATCGAAGATAGCAGCTTGTTCGGTTGGCTTGTTCGTTTCGTTGCTGGTTCGTGAAGAAGTACTGCTGGCTGGTTTGTGTGAGAGAAAAATACTATTCCGGCTAAAAATTTACGATCGTTTACGACAAGCTACGGCCAAACGAACAGGCTGAGCACTGAGAGAGATCTCACCAATCCCTATCTCTCTCTCTACTTCCCCTCTCTTCTCCCTCCTTGTTAAATGAATGCGGTTTTGTGGTGGGCCAAATGTGCATTTGACGAATCTGATAGAGACTGGTAGGTAAGTCATATGTTTTAAATTATTTTTCTCCACATACACTCACTCTTTTTAATAGTATTTATATTTGGACTTGCTTGAATTTGCCGAAGAGGACAGTACACATTATTTCTTATTATTAGGCCATGACAGACCATGTAATGACAATACAAGCGCTATATATGTATCTGTCCACACATGCAGGTCCTCTAGTCGTTGAGTTTCTTTCCTCTGCACGGCAAATTGGTGCATAAGCATCCGTTTGTCACGCAGTTTCCGGTATCATATCGCGCGTAAGTGCAGAACGTGATGCAGTTTTGAGGATCACACCGGTGACCCCACATGATAAGCTGTTTCTCACAATAGTCAGGCTCGTACACGCTTTCTTCTGGTGCCTTCTTCGTTAATCCTGCACTCAAAATATAAAAAATATTCAAAAAAGAACAGCTGGTGCATGGATCATATTATACATAGTATATATAGAAATAATATTTCTAGTGTTGCTAATAAGGTTTGGATATTAGTTACCTGATGAAGAGAGTGCTAATAGGAGGGCGAGGCTAAGGCGGAGCATCACACTAATTTGGATACTAGTCCTCATGTTTGTTAACTACTAGAAATGTTGTTTATGATCCGGCTGGTTTGTGGATGTATGTTGTGGGAAAAAGGAATGAATAGCAAGGGTTGTTTTTATACTACTGAATGCCATATGCAAGCTCTATCTATCTATACATGGAAACAATTTAATCACTGCTTTATTGAGAGGAGTGGATATAGTCATATATTATTGGTACCAATAAATATACTACTCCATAGCTAGTAGCATAAAAACATGCTATCTTTAGGAGTTCTGTTTTAGATAATGACTTGTTTGAGGAGTATAGGTGTACTGAATTGTTCTCCCTCTTCCCATTCAATCTAAAATAAGGGCATGTACAACCTAGAGACGGGGTCGTCTGCAAAAGTCTCAAATTTGACAAAAAGATAGCTAAAAAGACAGATCATACAATGGGATGTCTATTTTATTGTCTACAAGCTATTTAATGTGTTGTATGTAGCCAAGATCAATCATGAATATCATTTTGTATACCATTGTGTTGCTATTTGATAGAAAACAAATCAACCTTGCATAAAATGGGCATGATTACAATATTTCTTTAAAAATCATCAATACATGTCACATGCTGATATGAGTTCACACTAACTGGAAATTCAGGAAGTTAAACATAGAAGATACGGTTCACACTAACTGGAAATTCAGGAACTTCACAATTCACACTAACATAGCAGACTGAGACACAAGAGTCTAAACTCACATATAATTCACTCGAACATTAGTACAAGCCACACAACCACATATGTGCTGTTGGCTTTTCCTTGCTGTTGGCTTCCCATTGCGTTCCTGTTTTTCTATATCCTTGGAGAAATATAGTGCTGACAGAAATAAAGCCTTGGACGATATAGGCATTTTAGCTTGACTGACATTTCAACAAACACCTAAAGTACAGGCAGTAGCAAGCTAGCAACACAAACACGAAGCTCGTAGTATCAGCCGCAATCAGATGTAAAATTCAGAGTACAGAGTACACAAGATCTTTGGAATTTCCACTTCTACTGCATGGTGTATGTAGGTCTTTATTGCTGAAAAATAGATAATGGATCAGTAGTCAATTTCAGAGCATCAGCTCAGATCAAGGGAACCTTCAGATTCTACCAATCTTTGCAGAAAGCCATAGCTGAACAACAGTCATCAGTGCACAAGATGAGATCAAACAAGTTTTCAATGGCCAGAACCAACAACAGACTAAATGAACAATCAATCGCGCACACAAAGACGACGGAAGGAGAAGCCAGCCGTTGGCCTGGGCACCTGCGACGCGGATGCCGGCGACCTCGCCGTCGATGGCCACACGCTCCATGCCTCCACCTCCCTCCTCCCCTCCTACCGATGTCGCATCTCTGCCCCGCCCGCCGCCAAGACCGTCTGTCGGATGGATTCTTGGTGCGCAACAAGCAAAATCGCGCCAACCACATCTGCATCCCGCGCCCTCGCTTGGAGACGATGCAAGCCGTACAACGCTGCTCTCGGCCGGCGTCTCAACCTGGGAGCACGCGCCCGCATCTCGTCTCCTAGCATCGGCGGGGTGTTTTTCTGCAAAATTTACTCTGTGGAGACGGGCTCAATGGACCCGTTGTACGTGCCCTTACATTGTTATATTCGATAGTACATTATGTTATTCCACTCAAAAAAGAAGAAGAAGATAGTACATTATGTTATGTTATAGGTCTTAACTCTCGTGCTCAACATTTCTTTACATCTTTACACTATCCATAAATATAAATGCCACATGATTCAAGCCAATAGGGAGTATGACATGAAGTAAAGCATTAAAAGTAACAACACTTGGTTTGAACATTAAGTTCTGTCTTAATGTTTGAGGAAAAAAATAAATTTCTTTTGAATGTTTGTTGCACAATTCGATAATAATAATATATTGTGTTTGGAGGACTGCCTCAAATATGTGTGTGTCTATATATATTCAGTAGCCAGCTATAAAATAAGTTATTCGGTAGCCACCCTCATTTACGATAATTTTATATACTAATTTACGATAATATCAATACATCTTTACGATAGTTGGGCTACTATAACACATAGGGATATTTACCATAATGTTATAGTAAACCACTTAGTAAAGAGTTACTATAATCTCGTAAATTAACATAGTAATTAGCGTAACTCAAAGTGGCTACAGAAGTTACTATAATCTCGTAAATTAATATAGTAATTAGCGTAATTCAAAGTGGCTACAGAATAAGTTATTTTGTAGCTAGCTACAGGGTAGTAATACAATACTACGATAGTAGCATATAAAATAAGTATAACCATATACTCTAAGTATACATATATACTTATCATACATAGTACTCTAGATGGTCTAATATGATGATATACTCCCTCTACATACACTTCGTTGGGCTATATACATCCTAAATTTAGAGATATACACATGGAAGTAGCTACTCCCTAGGAGTAGGAAATAATTTATATATATATATATATATATATATATTCGTTTCACTTTCAATATTTCTTTTTAGACCCGTTGATTCCTTGCGATGCTAAAGCCCCAGCGGCCCAGCCCAACCCCGGTGACGCAATTAGCATTTCACAGTGACAATGCACGGAGCATTTTTTACACTACAAAATCTAAAAAAATCCATCTCTACCATTATGAATAATACATAAAACACGGTTGTTGGAGTAGTTAAGAAAACAGGCTGTTTAGGACTCATCTCTCAGAAATTCTTGGAGATACTCTAATAACAAGGTCGCCATGGTTATCCATTTGGCGAAAAAAACATATATATACTTTTCACAGAGGAACGGATAGATTGATTCTTGTAATTATTTTTCTTTTGTTTTTCCCTGTTATTACTCTCTTTTGTTTCTAGTAAAAAATTCCAATACGTAGCAGACCCCTCATGTTTCCCTAAAAGAAAATAAAGCAACTGTATAGGAGGAGAGGCTTCTCCGTATAAGATTCAGCCTACCAACGCATTCCAAAGAAAAAAAAAAAGACCATACCGCATTACTGTCCCCCACTCGTCCATGCCTTCTCTGCAACCAAGTTGTCAGCGTCCCATCCTTCGATGCCGGCAAGGACCACCGTTCTCCCCTCCTCCTCCCTGCGCGTTTAGTTCCTAAAATTTCCCAAAAATTACTGTAGCTATAAAGTTCCCAAAAAGTATACACTACAACTTTTTATGAGATGTTTAGTTGCCAAAATATGAAAAAGAACTGTACATCATTTAATGGACTGTATGTAGCTTATTAATGGCATGCATGCATGACATTGCATGCTAGTCAAGCAGGCTTTTACATCCAACCAGCCATTCTCAACAATAACAACTATTTTATTAAAAGCCAATCAACAATTATGCCCCATTTGGCAGGGCTTCTCTAGCGGCTTCAGGAGCCGCTTGGAGCCGTTTTCTGTCAAACGGGGTAAAATAAAACGGCTCCACCGATGAAGCCCCTAAAAACGTGCTCTCACAGAGTTTTGGGGTGGGAAGGAGCCAAAAATAGTGGCTTCTCCCGGCTCCTCCTCCAGGCCCCTAAAAACATGCTCTCACAGGGAAGCCATTTTGCCAAATGGTTTACCAAAACCGCTTCAGCTCCACTGGTGAAGCTGTTTGTGGAGCTAAAGCCAAAAAAATGGCTTCACTAGTGAAGTGAAGCTCTGTCAAACGGGGCCTTAGAATGAACGACCACATCGGATGTATTCGGTATCGTACCAGCAAGCTTCTCGGCCTAACTCGTTACAAATACAGCAAGACAGGAGTTCATGCATCCGTCCTGGCGCTTCCTTCTCATCAGCACAGCAAACAACACGTATGTTCAGGAAACCAACAATTATTGTGAAACAAATCAAATGCCCAATGTTCACCCAGCAATGGTTCTCAGACAAAAAAATTACAGTTACACAGTCACCTCAAACAGACGACCAAATCATGTTCGATTAGCCAAACCGATTGCGATGGATTCCCGAAATGCATTCATCACCTCAGAATCAGAACTACCGCTTGGAGGAATAGTTTCCGACTGATCGGCATAGGCTTCTGCCGGCACATAGTTTTCATCCCGGTCACACCGAGCAAAGTGCATATCCCCTATGCCACTCACCCTTATGAAGTTATGCAGGGCACAATATGCAACAATGATTTGACTTTGTATATGGGGGGCATAACTAGGGACTTCTTTCATCATCCGCCACTTCATTTTCAACACTTCAAATGACCTTTTTATGACATTCCTAAGTGAAGAATGTGCATAATTGAAGATCTCAGTTTTACCTTGGGGTTCTGGTGCCTCTCGGTACTCCTACAGGTGGTACTTTGTTCCCTTGTACGGTGAAAGATAACCTGGTCGGTTAGCGTACCCCGAGTCCACAAGGTAATATTTGCCTACACCATCCAAACAATAGTTAGTGTCATGAACTTCAACTAGTATGCACAAAAGTAGAACCAACTAATTGTATACCTGTTGGTGGATGTGGAAACACGTTGGTGTATGTTATTGTCGCATCATTGAAGACCCTCATGTCATGCACTGAACCCGGCCAGCCAGCTAGGACGAATGTAAATCACATGTCGAAGTCACACACAGCCAAGACATTCTGTGTTGTCATCCCCTTGCGGCACAGGTGCTGCACAAACTTATCACTAGGCACCACACAGGGGACATGAGTCCCATCTATAGCCCCTATACAGTCCTTGAAGTAGGGATAGAACATAAGATTTCTTAGCCTATCATGCATAGTGCTGAAATTTGGGTCATTAGGCCTAATGATGTCAGCAGCAAGCTTGACAACAGACTTCAACACCCTGTGAAACATGCTATGAACAGTCTCCAGTGACCTCTGAAACCTGTCATCTGCTTGCCTAACAGATTGTGGAGCACCCACCATCCACAGAAACATCCCAAGAGCCTCAATAGATGCTGATTTGCTACTAGATTTCAGCCCATATGATTCTACCAAAAGATCATGCAGCCTAAGGAACATATCAGGGCTCATTCTGAACATGTTATAACATGCC